TGCATGAACCCCTGTCCCCACAGATCAATAGCCGACAGTGTGTGCTCAGCGCGAGGCCACTTTTGCTGCCACCCGGTGATCACAGGCGTAGTCAGATCGAACGCTGGGCAATTACGGGCAGCCTGCGAGAACTCGTGGAAGAGGTCCGAGTATAGCTGGCGCTGGATGCGGAAGAACTTCATGAAAATGGGGTCGATGAAGGCCTGGCGCAGATCCAGCAGCTGCTTCAGCTCCGCCTTCAGCATATCGTTGTAATAGTTATACTGACGCGATGCCTCCTGATACTGGGCGCCGTACTTCTGATACGCCTGCTCGTCCGGAAGACTCCTTCCACCATCCACCCCCTCCTTAGCCTCGTACTTTTCGACCTGAGACTTGTGCCTGTCATAGTCTATCAGCTTGTGGTCGCGCTTCTGGATGACACGGTGGATGTTCTTCATCATTGCCATCAGCTCCTGTATCGGCCCAACCACAGAGATATCCAGGGCTTCAAGCTGCGGATCGATTTTCGCCTTAATTTCGTTGACTCGGTCGCGGAACTCCTCTGCCACACGCAGCAGCTCCGGCGAGGCGCCTTCGTCAATGTAGGTGCCTGTGGGCTGGGCTACGCCCTCCGGGTCGGTGGTAATTGGCCTGTATGTGGCGAGAATCTGCTCCATGAAGGCCACTTGGTACACGAGCGTTTCGCGAATGCTGTCGCGGAACTGGGAGGCAGACATGAAGAGGCTTTTTGTGACGCCCTCCAAATCGACAAAGCGCAGCTTCAAATCGTCAAAGTCGGGGTCAACAGTCTTTGCCCCACGGCCAATCTTGCTTTGCAATTGATGTGGCATGCGCTCAAGCGCCTTTTTGAACCCTTTCCAGCTCATGTTTGATAGCGTCTATTACGGCCGGACCAAGTGTGTAGTAATTGAAAATAGCGAAAAAGGCAAGCAAATATAGAGCAGCAAGGCGGTAAGAGGAGTGGGGATGGGGCGAGGGGAGGCAGAAAGGGAGCGGGGAAATCAAGCACCCCTTTTGGTGCAGCCAAGCACGGAGTGCCGGCCTGGGCTGCAAACGGCGCGCCATGTATGAGGTGCCGCACCACCTAGTCCGCATCTCCACTGTGGCCAATCATGCGCATGGTGTCGCTCGCACGTTGAATAGAAGCATAGCCAGCTGCATTACTAGCTCGGCAACCCGTCGGTGCATACTCTTTTGCTGCTGCTGGTTTATTGCTGTAGACGAGAAGCTGCCTGCATAGTGCGGCCAATAGAGCCAGTAGAGCCAGTAGAGCTAGTAGGAGATGTCGTCGATGATAGCCTTGGGAACAAGGTAGCCGTCAAAGGACTCGTATCCGAGCTCGCGGCCAAAGCCAGAGTTGCGGAAGCCACCAAAGGGCAGGTACGAGTAGAGGGCGTTGTAGTTGTTGACCCAAATGGTGCCGCTACGCAGCCTGCGAGTGAACTTTGAGATGGCCTGGTGGTTGCGCGTGAAGATGCCGGCAGCAAGGCCAAACTCGTTCCTGCGCTCAATTTCAATAACCTCATCGAGGCTGTCAAACGGCTTGAGAATCGAGAGGACGGGCCCAAAGATCTCCTCGGTGGCAATGCGCGCCTTTGGGTCGACGTTGTAGAAGAGAGTGGGCTTGACCCAGTACCCGCGGTCGAATGCGCGGTCGCCGCCAGTGAGGACAGGGGCGCTGTCCACCTCCCTGCCGATGCGAATGTACTCCATCACACGGTCAAACTGGCGCTTGTCGATAAGAGGACCCATTTCAGTGCTGCTGTCCTGAGGCATGCCCACAACGAGAGCCTCAGCGGCAGCCTTGAGCTTGGGCAGAAAGGCGTCATAGACATCGCGATGGATCCACAGGCGAGTGAGCGCATTGCAGTTCATGCCGGCGTTGCTCATGCAGCCGCTGACAACAAGCCTTGCTGTCTTGTCCAGGTCAGCGTCGGGCATGACGACACCGGGGCTCTTGCCGCCCAGCTCCACAGAGGTCGAGCGCACGTTTTTGGTTGATGCAGTAGAGCGAATCACGTGCTTGCCGGTGGCAACGGAGCCAGTGAACCCGATCTTGTCGACGAGATCGTGGTCGACAAGGGCCTGGCCGACCTCAACGCCGCCGAGAACGACATTGAATACGCCTGGTGGGAACTTGCCAGTCTTCTCAAGGAGGTGGGCAAAGTACTGGGTTGTGAGAGGGGTTTGTGGACCAGGCTTGAACACGATGGTGCAGCCAGCAGCCAGGGCTGGGGCGACCTTCCAGGCGAGCAGGCAGATGGGGTAGTTGAACGCATTGATGAAGCCAACCACGCCGACGGGGACCTTGACAGTGTACCCCTCAAGCGATGCGTTGGTCTGGGGAGCGATATGGCGGCCCTCGACCTTGTCCGCGTAGCCAGCAAAGTGCCTGAACAGATCGATGGTGTCATCGAGCTCAACGCACACATCGCTGATTGGCTTTCCGGTGTTGATACTTTCGATAAGCTCGATTTCAGCACGGCTCTCCTCGATAGCGTCGGCAAGCGCAAGCATGGCATCGCGGCGCTGGGCTCCAGAGAACTCGTTGACCCACGGTCCGTCGTGGAATGCGCTGTAGGCAGCCTGCACAGCGGCGTCGAGGTCCTGGGCATTGCACTCGGGAACAACAGCAATGACCTCAGCAGTGTCGGGGTTCTCGACGCTGTGGGTCTTTGTGGCAGTGGATTCGACCCAGCTGCCGTTGATGTAGATGCGCTTCTCGTCGAAGGGAAGGCTTGGAAGAACAGCGACAGTCATTCTGGAAAGAGCGCTAGTTTGGTGCTTAAAGGATATATAGAAAACGAACAAGAGAAAACCAGAGGATGGAGAAAAGGAGCAGAGTGGGGTGAGCAGGGCAAGGCGTGCCACTCTTATAACAGGGCTGGATAAGGTGTGCACGCTGCTTTGCTCACACGGGTCTGCTGCTCACAGGCGCAAAATACCATTGTCTCATTTTAGAGCAGACAGCCCAGGGGTTAGGAACCACCCTCATCTTCCTCTAACCAATGCCAGCATGCACACGCCTGCACATGCTGCTATGCACGCTGCCAGCCCCACGCCCTAATCCCCTTTCTGCGCATGCCCCTGGCTGTATGCCGGAGGACAATACACACTCGCTGCCCAGGATTTTCTACTCGGAGAAGGCGCGCTTTCGAAGGCCGTCGACCTTCTGTGCTCTGCGCTCTGCCTTGCGAACCAAGCCCTTACGGATTGCACGGAGATCCCCAGTCAAGTCAAACACCGGACCAAGCCCACGCTCAGCTGCCTGGCGCCTGAGATCCTCATCGTGCTCGGCCCAGGGCTCCATCCCCGCTGCATCAAGCACATGTGCTGGCGCGACGCCATCGATACGCTCCATCAGCCGTAGCAGCTGCTCGCCGATTCCCAAGAGCTGGCGGTTGATAGCATCGAGTCTTTGGCGTGTCTTCTCCTGCACGGCGCTATCGCTCGAATCGCCTTCATCCCCCTGCCGCTGCATCTGCTCCCCCGATTCTTCCTTGAGAGACTTTGCCTCGTCTGCGAGCTGCTGTGCCTGGGGTAGCATCTGCGTGTCCATGTAGTTGAGAATGCCCTTGCACTCGGATAGCTCTGCAACAAGCTCTTTGTACTTTTTCTTTGCGTCTCTTAAGCGCATTGTCCTCTCGTGGTCAGCTTTGAGATAACGAGAGGTCCAAAAAAGCGTGCCGCCTACCGCTGCCACGCCAAGCACAGCAAGCACAGATAGCCAGACATGGCGCTGCTGGTGGATGGCTGCTGCTTGCGACAATACCATTGCTGAACTACAAAAGCCTGATGCCAAGAAACAAGAAGGCAAAGACGAAGATACACCAAAAAGTAGCACTGTGGCCAGACGCTCGCCCATGCTTACGTGAAGCAACTCTCAGTAGCAAGGTTCCACAGCAATGATGGGACACCCCACCATGAGGCAGCTCACTGGCGTGCAAATGGAATCATCAGGTTTTTATGGATACAGCCTTTTCACTAGAACGTCTATAGTACCGCTGCCTAAACTGCTAATTGAATGTAGAAAATGGGGTGGATGCCACGACACATGGATTCGATGAGACTGCTTTGATCAGAAGCAATCTACATCAATGACAATGTTGTCCTTGTCTACCATCACTGTGATTCGGCGCGTGTCAACAGCCCTCTCAGTCACAGGTGTGCTGGGTCCAATTATCCTGCGCGGTTTTCCCAGTCTATCCAGGAACGACAGCTTCTACAGCAGGCGTATACAACACATCTGTGAGCGCTTGGTGTTGGAACAACGAATCAGCATGGTATGCACGTGAAGGAGGAGTTAGCCATCTCACTCGCTTGCACTCCCACTTACCCTGCTGGGGATCCTTTTGGCTGGAACATGGTCTGAGCTGACTATTTGCGTGCCTATCAGCAAAGAAGGAGGAGTTAGCCATCTCACTCGCTTGCACTCCCACTTACCCTGCTGGGGATCCTTTTGGCTGGAACATGGTCTGAGCTGACTATTTGCGTGCCTATCAGCAACGGCTTCCAGTAAGCGCGGTTGCAGTCATCATGAGTTGCGCAGTGCCCGGACGGAAAAGCAGCAGCAAGAAACACCAAACCTGATACAACATTCATTCTGATGTATAATATTGAGGGCAAGTCCAGCAGAAGAAAGACATGCTCCCTTTTCAAGTAGCGAGCCCAGCACTACATGCTTTGCTGTAGCGTGTATTTTTACAGCCTGCAGCAGCTAGATGGGGTGCTATTTTTGTGTGCCTGCCATATCGAAGGAGGCGAATGGCCCCACAGAGCAGTAATG